CAGAAAAGGGGCTGGAAGCACATCTATTCTTTCTCCCTCACTAAGAAATTCTCAATCAATACCGGTGCTGACCGGTGAAAAGGCAGCACCCATCAAGATGGCTAGTGTTAAATATGAGGAGTCTGTTGTGCACCAAAATCAGCAGACATATCAGAAGTGCATTTATCATTTGTTATTTGTTTATTTTGTTTGTTAGCTTGTAACTGGCAGTGGCTGACACGGTGTTAGTGGTTGTGAAACAGACAATAATATCTGCTGTTACAGTGTGTTCACATTATTGTTATTGTGTAGATAGATAGTGGAAGGAAGCTCGAGGGTGCAGTTTACATCCAAAAACTGCACACTCACTGTGCAAACTCTCGCTGTCTGTACTGACTAGTGCGTACTGCACTGGAGGCTTCAGGATTCTTTGCCGATTGCATCTGCTAGACAGCGATCTAGCTTGTCTGGGGTATGTCTGAATCTCAGATTTTAGGGAAGTGTGCAGACATCTTCAGTAGAGGAATGTGAAAACGCACTTCTTTCAAATGTCTATTGAAAAACTTTTAAAGTCATTAAAGTCAAGGTCAGACATTTTAAGGGACATAAACATAAGAAAAACATATTATTGAGTGGAGGGTTTGTTTGATATTGTTATGTACCCACACAGTTTAAACCACTCCTATGTCCTCAATTTATTGTTGCCGCCATGAAAATAACTTTTCTTTTCATTTTTCTCATTGGACCTGAAAGTTGAAATGGCCCTTTTATGGGCTGAGTGACTTTCATTGTCCCTCAGCTCAAAGCTAAAAAGCAGTTTGTGATTTCAAATGAAGAATATTAGCATTATTTTTGACAATACAGTCCATCTTTTGCAGTCAGGTGATTTTAGTGGGAAGTTGTATTGACATCTGGTATTCTGCAGGTGTCACTCACCACCGATGATTGCAGTCTTCACATTCCTACTGATCAGTCGTCTCCCATAGACTCTGTGGCCGTGCCCAGATTGGGATTAATGAATATAATAGTGGACTAAAGGGGAAGCTTACAATGTGCTGTACACATGTACTTGTACACACATATAAAGTCATATTATATATAAATACCACCTGTTGTCATGCAGTGTATACACATCCATACTGCAATACTGATGTGTTTTTATCAAACTGGGGGCTCAGATCCAGCTTTAGGCTCTTGCTTGTCCAGGGAGAGGGTTGGTGGCCCCAGAGGGGTGTTTGCTTAAGGCCCATTTAACGACCATGATGCTTTTTCCAGACCAGACCCAGGCCTGAAATGCAGACAGGAATGGGCGTAAGGCCAGTAAGCTGCTACTTAACTTTTAGAACCAGAATCATTTCTTTGGCAGGTTTTGTGGACGTACCTGAGTTTGTCTTGGTAGCACACATCACACAAATGACTACAGTATAAGATCACACATCAATCATGTGTTGTTGCCCCAAAGTTGCAACAACAGTTTCTAGGAAATGGATGTTACCCCAAATCCACAAATACTTCACATGCAAGAGAGGTTTGCACGCAATCATTCGAGGCATTTCCTGCATTATGTTCATTCAGTTGACTGGCGTGCCCTTTGAAGCCGGGCACATACTGTTCATTGCATTAATGCTGATTGTAGCTTACCTTTAAAGGTAAAGGCCTGAGGCTATCTCAATCCTAATCTGTGGTCAAGGGTAACTTCTGCTCTGAGCTATCGCTTCAATGTGCCGTGACACTCTAATGGCTCAGTCCCAGCACGGATCAAAGAGCTGTTTGTGGCCAACGCTGAAGATTACACTTGGCTGCTATGCCATTCCCTCACAGCAGCCAAGACAGATCCCAGAGGCTTTCAGAACCAAGATGTTTATCGGCCTTGTACCCAAACAAACAAGATGTGCGTCAGTGAACAGAACCCTGAAATGTTAATCTTTCTTTTGCATTGACGGACTATCTCATCGTCTGCTGCTTACAACTTTCTGTGTGTGTGTGTGTGTGTGTGTGTGAGGGAGACAGAGAGAGAGAGAGAGAGAGAGAGAAAGAGAGAGAGAGAGATGGGGGAACAGATGTGAAAGTGTTAGAGAGAAATAAGAAATAGAAAGAGAAATAAAGAGAGAAGGGGGAGGTTTGGACATAGCAGCAGCATTATTGCAAAGCATTCTGGCACCAATTCTGAAAACTAGAATTTAGCAACACAGCTCAGTAATTTGTAGGAAATGACACAAGCGCTGTGTGAGCTAACGCTGTCCACTTTAACCTCCCAAAACATGTCACTTATTAAAGATCACAATATTATAAAGCACATGAAAGAGCAGGTGGATCAATTCTAATGTGCGTTTGATTCTCAGTTTCATTAACTTCCTTGTTTTTTCCACACAGTAACACCCAGGTGGGAAACAGCTTCAAAACCGCAGTCCTAATTGCGAGCATGTGGCCTTGCGCAGCGTCCAAGGCGCACTTGACTTTTCCACGCTGTCCTGTCATCTGGGCTGGAAGCCCTGGACGGGATCTTACAGCACATCCCATCGGAGGAGCACGTTTGGGCCGTAATGCAGCCTGCATGTCAATGAATTACCACACACACACACTGAATCGACTGTTTATAAGCAAAAACCAGATTTCACGTCTCATAAAAAAAATCGGGAGACATAAAAGCCCATTTTCCCCATTTTCAGCTACATCAACTCAGTGTTGCGTTTACGGTCAATCTATCATTCTCCCCATTATTTATTTCACATTTTCTGAAGGGTTGCGATCGTTCGTTCTTTCCAAACCCTTTAGTCCTCTTGAATTGTTGTATAAACAATAAGGCAGATCTGAATCTGACAGGCGCGTCTCTTCAGCCCGGAGCAAACCAATCCAAGACCGTCAGCTGGGAGAGAGGTGCCGCCGGCAGGCTGGCAGAAGGTCCTGACAGGGCCCGCACCTCTCAGTGCAGGCTGTCAGCTCTTCTTCAGTAATTAGGAAGCCAAGCAAACACACTGCGTACTGCAGAGCCAATCTGAAAGAGTTTTTTTTTTACCATGACGTGCTATAAAACTGTCCATCTGAGTGAGCAAGCCCCTGCGTCTATAAAGCAGCTCCTGAGTCTTAAAAACCGTTTTTATGGAATGAGATAATTTCGGCTTTATTTTACGCGTGGTCCTTTTTTTTTAAATGTGACAAAAAAAAAAAAATACATTTTTTTGTGATTTAATCCTACACCACAGCTCACACACAATATCACACTTTCATTTTAGGCCATGCATTTCAATTTATACGTTCTCATCCAGTTTAATTACAGTTAAAAAAAGAGTCCTGTGTGGTTAAACTGGTTTTTTTAAGTAGTAGATTGTGTTACCTCCATTTGCCAATTAAATCCCCAGCAACCATTACAGGACATCCGGGATTAAAGGTAAAGAAAGTGGATTTGATGACGCCTCATTTTAAACACTACATACACATTTTCTCCTTCGTGCCTAATTTACACTCCGAACGCTTTTATTGACTTTAAAAACAAGATGCTGGGCTGGATGACAATGCGCCCATTAATCAGGATGTTGTCCTTTCAAATGTATCAGTCTCGTGGGTTAATTGAATTGTAGGATGGAAAATGGTTAGAGCAACACTGGTGCTGTAGGTTCATTAACTATTGTAACTCAATCCTTTGGAAAATAGCAGAAACTTTGATTTGTTTCCTGAAACAAATACTGAGGTCCCTGCAGGGAAATCAAACTCATCAAAGAAGAAAGCCGAAGAGATTGTAGCCTTTATATTGTTCCTTCAATATGCAAACAACTTTCGTGCGTCATCTTCAAAAAGGTCATTCATACTGGAATTTTTTCTCCATTGAAATCACATCTGCAACTATTTAGGAGGAATAAATTATTTCCACGCCATATTAAACGTGGATACATCTAACACCTCAAGGAAACGAGCATGAAATAGGATTAAAATACAGGAAAGAGATCCTGGAATCAATCGGCCTGGATGTGATCGAAAATTGATTATAAAAATACGATAATAAACATTTTTTATACTTTAGAATGACTTAAAATACAAGTGTCTCTATAATCTGTGAGGCTAAAGTGTTTGGTACTGCCACCAGCTGTTAGTCCCAAGCTTCACCTGTCTTAGTGTTAGTTGTCTGGATAATTCTGGTTAAATCAGCTGCTGCTACAGCGAAAGGCCTCATGCCGCCTGTGTTTACTGCAACAAACAAATTCCCTTTAAATTAGCATCCTGAAGGACTTTGTCAAATCAAAACCACGTGTCAGCAAACATACAGCCTTCTTGAATTAAAGTGCATCGCCAAGCTGCCCTCCATCCAACCTCGAAGAAAGAACTCGCTTATTTGATTAACCCCAGAGTAATTACAGCGTGCGTCCTCTCCATGGGCTTACATTTAGTCAGTCATATCATTTACAAATTAGGAGTGCATTAATGTGGCTACTAGACTCAAATTATGTGGGACGAGTTGTGGTGATACTGTTGGAATATTTTACATCTTGTAGGTCTGTTTGGTATCTGACTTCAGTGCATAAAAATATGTCTAGACCAGAATAAACCCAAAGGCAAAACATAAGAAAATGCTCCTTTCCCATTGAAATCTCGTTACATTTTGTTCTAACAAAGAGCTTTCATATGTTTCTGACAGTAGTGTTTGTCAGCTGAGCTTTAATAGATAAAACAATCCCATTCAGGGGCCACCGGGCTTGCGTGGCCTGCTGCGCCATAATGCTTGGCACAAACCCTCCAATGACGGTTCAACACTGAGTGTTTTTTGTCAATATTAGCGGGACTACTTGGGAGGAAGTTTATAATTGGACACGTGTTTTCCCCGCTTTTTGTCGTTTGGAGATCAACTGATTCCTTTGTAATTCGTTTTTAAAGCAATGAACGATCCACAAGGAGGGGTAAAGTGTTCTTAAGAGCTCCCTTTCAGCCTTTAGAATTGGCCAGAGCAACCCGCCGGGAAACATGGAGGCCCTGGAAGTATTTAATCCAGGAGATGTGCCCATGAGGCTGTCACACAGCAGAGATTCAGACATGTGCAGGTAGGCAGTTACCAGGTTGTTGAAGAAACCCCGCTCTGCTCTCTGCCTTCAGAGACTTTATCCTTCAGTCCTGCACAGTTTAATTTTCCGACCAGAAAAAGAAACAGAACAATTCCATATTTATTTGTAAATTATGGAGGACATACTTTTTGATTTCGAACAGGATGGCAACACTGATTTTGCATTTTGGGGACAGATGGACCAAAACTTCCAGCTTCAGACGCAACTGGACACTTTCCTGCTGGACTACACAGCAGCCACAGGCCAGCTCTCGCCCTGGTCCTCCTTCGGCAGTCAGTCCATGTTCCCGGAAGCACAGCTGACCTTCACCGACCTCGACGTGCAGTCTCCGGGTGCGGGTGTCTGCGCTGAAGGGGAAACCTCCTCCGTGGACGAACCCCTGGAGGTGAGCAAGCGCAGGGCGCGGCGGCTAGTGACCCATCACCCGTACAAGGTGCAGCGGCATGCCGCCAACATCCGGGAGAGGAAGAGGATGCTGAGCATCAATTCCGCCTTCGAGGAGCTGCGCTGCCACGTGCCGACGTTTCCCTACGAGAAGCGGCTGTCGAAGATAGACACCCTGAGGCTGGCCATAGCCTACATCGCCCTGCTCAGAGAGATCCTCATGTCGGGCTGCGACCCCAAATCCTACGTGGATGAGTGCATGAAGAATGGCTACAAGAATCAAACCAACGCCATCTGGAACACAAGTGGTGAGCTGGTCGCTATCATTAGCCCATGAAGTTGTCATTAACTAATTAATGATCGAGTATGCAGATGAGATCAGAGTAATGTCAAAGCTTAACTTGAGCCAATGTGTTGACAGGAACATTAATAACAGCATCATCCATAACCAATGCATTGTCAGTCTTATCTCATCCAGTTTTTTGCTAAATGTTTGGGCATTGTTTTTAAAAGAGACAGGATATATAATATATATTTTCCTTAGAATATTACAGAATCTTTCTTTATATATGACTTAAATTAGTCCTGAATGAAACATTATGGTCATAAACAAACCAAACTGTGAAATACCTGATATTTAAAGCTTCAATTAAGTTTATCCTAATTAGCCAAATATGCTTCATTAACACGTTATAATAGAGACCATCACATACAACACACAAATAAAAATGAGTTTTTTCTTGTCTATATCTTTGTTAAGCTAAGAGAGGTTTTTAAAGGTTAATTGAGATGGAATTGTCTTTCAGTGGACAGAAAGAATGAACTGTTGTTATTCACAGTGATCCCAGCATACTGACATTCATTTTAATCAGCTTGTTGTGTGTCTGCTGCACACTTTTATCCCCAGGTGTGTTTCCCTCATGCATTTGCTGTTAAATGAGCCTCATTTCACCAAAACACAAGTAGCTGTATTCTTACTGCCTCCATGCACTTAACTAATTCTGTGGGAATCTGCTCTGAAGCCTCTTTATGGGGCTTTTCAGCAGTAAGTGTGCCCCCATTGTGTAGCCCCAGACCTAGGACTTGTTAAACAGTCATTAAAATGTATCAAAACTTATATGTTTGTCCTGCTTTTGTCTCCTTCTGCCCCCATGTTTTCCCTTCCCAGATCTGACAGCCCGCCTCTCTTGGATAAAGTGGGATTAACTGAGGATCATGGGGCACCCTGAGTGTGGAGATTGCATCGGGGAGGAGGTTCAGGTTTGTTCCTCCCTCTTCTCTCTACATGTCAAAGACAGGCGGCCGGGCCGGCGTGACAAACCCCGACCGATCGACATCTGCAGACTTCTCAGCGGGTCACACACCTCCAGGCTTTCTCAACCCCATCTACTCCTTCGTCCTCGGTGGCTTTTAATATTCTAATTTATTGTTGACTGGTAATTGAGAGCCATTGTTTCTGGAGCTCGGGGGGAAAGAGGGTTGGCAGTGTTTGCCCAAATGGATGGCACTTGTGAAACAGAGAGAGAGAGGGGCACTGGCATGAGACTGAATGGACTCTATAAGGGCTCATACTTCTGCATGTAGCGCTGAAGTGTTTTCTGGACTCTCGCTCATTAGTCTGCGAGTCGATGTGTTAAAAAGAGCCTTGGTGATGTAAATGAGACAATGGGCGTTAGAAGCAGAATCAGTGCAATGTGTTTTAGCATGTCAGGTGCTGTTTCCAAAGATGGCAAGGCTAATCTGTTTTATGTGCAACCTCTATCATCTGTTGTGTTATTTATTCATTTATTTATTTATAATGATTGCGTATTTATGAGAAAATACTTGTATTTGTACAAACTGTGATTATTTATTGTTCTGTAACTCCATAAGACTGCTGTGTTTATTTTGATTTCCTGTACATTTGAAGCTACTCCATATGTGAAAGTGGATCACAACTTTAATTTAATGTGTTGGTTAACAATGATCTCTACTGAAGATCATAAAAAGCAACCTATCCCTCTCCAGTTTGGTTTTATTTGTGGTATTCCTTGATGTCTTTTTGTACTGGGGTCTTAAACCTGTTATAGAGGTCAGTCAAGCACCATCATCTCTCTCTTGGGCTAACACATTGTCCCTGATCTTTTTTCCTGTTAGCTTTCGATAACACTTAAATTTGGACGGATATTTCTGTTCATAGGGGACTAAGTTTAACCAATTTGTTATTACAAACACCCCATAAATGTAGTCATCACTTTAGGACAGTGAGTCCAGGTGCGGTGGAGCTGTGCTCACCAAATGATCAGTGTTACAGGTGTCCTTCCTCAGAGTGAGCTTTATTCCCAGCTTTTAACAATTCCTGTGCCTAACAGCATGATGGATGGGCTTCTAGTGCTATCCGAGCCAACCCTCAAAACCGCTGTGAAAAAGGACAAGATTTTCATGTTTAAGTTAAAAGGTAATAAAAAAACAGCCTGATACTAATAATCCTATATTTCTATATTAAATGTCATCATCTAGTGACATGGAATGCCGATTACTTTGTGGTGGCATCACTGAAAAAACTACAGTAACAACTGTGACTGGCATCATTGTAGCAATTTGTAAATGAATGGATAGATAACTAATACAAATATTTTGGGCTGTCAGTGCAATTAAAAGTAGATTTATTTGATATGGGAGTAAGGAACTATGAAGCATCAATATGAAGCATTAATTTGTAGCATGAGAAGATTCGACTCGGTTAACAAGTACATTTTTTGTTATTGATAACTTGCCAGTTATTGCTGCCTGGCTAAGACAAGAAAGCAGTCTACAGCCTTGTTAGCGCCTCTGAGAGGCTGTGGTAAGGTATAGCTGTGATTTAAAGGAACAGTTAGTGGTGAATTTGCAGATTGCAACTTTGCCTTACCCTCACCTTTCAAGCATGTTTTGAGCTACCGTAGAAACACCGCTCTTCTTCTTTAGATAAAAACAGCTCATTTTAATGTAACACAATTCTTATTTTCAGGTGATTATGCACTCATGAAAACATACCTATATTATATTCCATTTCTGCCAATAGATCATTCTAAATGTTACACACTGGACCTTTAAGCTAAACATCAGCATTAGCAGGTAAAAAGTTTACAATGTTCACTATCTTGTTCGTGTGTTAGCATGCTAATGTTTGCTAATTAGCACTAAACACAAAGTAGAGATAAGATTCATGTGAATGTCATTAGTTTTGCAGGTGGTCATAAATCTGTTTAAAACAAGTTTTGAGCTAAATGGGATGTCAGAGGATCACCAAATAATGCACCCCACCAAAATTTATTCAGCAGTGTAGTTTCTCTGCCTGAGCTTTTCTCTTAACAGTCCACAGATGTTGCTCCATGTACTAGTCAGATGTGTAAAACAGGCAAAGGGAGTCAACAACATACCCATTCTTCTTTTACACGTGTGATTTTAGTGCCACTAATGGAGCCCTTAGGAAACAATTAAGAAGCAACCCATTGAGATCTACACATAGCTTACAGGTGATGTATAGCTGATGAATTTCTGGTTTGAGAGTTTTGGTCACAGTAAATTAAAAATGGGTCCCTAGTTATTCTGAAGACCAAATTAATTACATTCAAACCTTTATTTTCGAGTTACTTGAATTTATGCGTTGGCACAATTTTCCACGTATTTTACAGAATGACAGGATTCAATAAATATTAGTACTTGGAACAACAAACGCTGTAAAATTTAATTTGAGTCGATTTATCCCATTTGGAAACATTCAATCAATTACTTTTACTTTGTCCCTCTGTGTGTGAGCGTGTGTGTGCTCTTACAGGTGTCATAGATGTTCTACATACTGCACACCTGTTGGATGTAAATGTGCACAAGAGACCCTGGATTATGTAAGGAACAGGTTCATGTGGCTGAACATGATTTAAAAATGAAACATCAATTAGAACTGTGTTTTTAGACCTTTAAAGGAGTTGTTTTTTAATGATAGCAGTCACCAAATTGTGTTGTGACCTTTGTGGCACTCTGATGCTCAGTGACCCCTGGGTCCCTCTGGTGGTATTGATTGGCTAAATTTATTTAGAGATTTATTCCTGCAGTAGTTTCTGATGCGTTGTGTTGGAATCAATAGCTTTTTGAGCTGAGCTTTAAAAAGATTAATAACTGTCGGGACAAAGACTGATATTTAAGCTCTATCTTTGTAATATTTGATGTTCAGGCTGCACATGTTACAGATACAAAGCTGAAAAGAAGCACTCAGCAAGTATTCTAAAATAATCTGTATTTTAATGACAGGAGAGGAAACAAACACAAAGTATATAATTATTTGTATTTATTTTATACTTTTTAAATGATCATGACAACTGAGCAAATGCCATGTGCTGATGAAGCTCATTAAATGCAGTTAAAAGCTCCAGAGAAAGCCAAGTGGACATGAGTTAAGATTTTTTTTTTCTCAAACTGTCTAATTAGATACTTACTGATATATTCATGTATTTAATAAACCAAGTAGATAAAGTTTAGAAATTGACATCATGTAGTATTTTCTAGCCATCACCAAGAGATCTTGACCGATCAAAAAAAGCTCTGAATACCATTCAGATGAGACATGATTCAGTCAAGGGGAAAATTCTGGGGGCCAGAATGAGTGACATTCCTCCAGTCTGTGGACTGCATCAGGCTTCTTTTTTTTTTGCGTTGAAGGAGTTTATTGATTTAACATCCGGAAGACATACACTGACAAACACTGCAAAGCTGTTCTGCCTTCGGCCGGCAGGTGTGTTTATCATGTTAGTGTAACTCTGGAGTCTGGGTCTTGCACTTGTAAATATAATTAGTGTATCACATCCTGTTGGAACAATGTCGGGTCTGGATGGAAGAGATCTGAAACAGCCCTGAAGAAAGGTAAAAAATCTGTTTGGGTTTTTTTTATGTGGCATATTGGTTGTACAGTAAATCCACACAAGTAACATAAAACATTTTACCAAAATATATTAAAAATGTGGTGCTCTTTAAAATTAAATTGCTCACCTGGAAGTTTTCTACAAGGCCTGAGTTTTGGCTATACTTTTCTTAGGATGAAAATAACAATAAATCACTTGATCCACAAGATACACTGCCTGCAGTGTTCACTGAGGCAGACTCAGAGATGGCAAACATTTGTTTGCTAGGTGGCCAAACATTGTTTTAAAGGTGGAAAAATCTCTGCTATATCACAGGTACAATATCACACTCTGGGGTCAGACTGTGAGACAAATATCCAACCCCACACAAACAATGTAAAACTCCACGGTGGTGTGATCCTTAGAACAATTAGTGCAAATTTCCAGCATTCAGCTGCAAGTGTCATCCAGCCGGATTTATCAGACTGGATGTAAAGCTCCTTTAATACTCAACGATGGATCTTTGTGTTCCCTACACTTCCATGCTTAAATTGCTGCATCTTGTATGTAAAACAGTACTTTAACAGTACTTCACAAAGCAAAGATTTGTTGATTTTGCTTTCATTGCAAACTGTGACAGTGCATAACTGACTTATAACAGCTACAGCCTGCCTAAAAAGGGCTAGTTTGAGGTATTTTAAATTGTGCAACAGTGTTCATAACCTGGACACAAAACTCAAGTGTTACCTCAATCGCGTGTGTAGATAGAAACGTCTCATTCTAAGGTAACAAAAACACTATGATTCCTATATTCAGGTGATTGTACAATAATGAAAACATACATTTGAATACTATCTTCCATTTCTGCCAAAAGATCCTCCTAAATGTTATACACTGGACCTGGCAATGTGTATTACATTTTTTGCATTCAAATAATTTGCATGTAAATATACATACAAGTGAAGAACAGTACTATTATGGAAAAAGATCATATATCAGTTACCATGCATGACATTAGTAACCTATCATTTGCCATGTTTCAATGGATCCAAGAGCTTTAAAGCAAGAATATAAATGTATATATAGAACCTGTGACTGTTGAAAAAAGGCTGACATCTAATCTAATAAATGTAGTGGATTATTCTGCAAAACAGAGTAACCCAAAAAGTTTACCCCCCAAAAACCAAACAAAACAAAAATGCTGACTCCCCGGAAGGCTCGCACCCTGCACTCATCACCATGGTGACCCAGTGTGTTGGCACTTTAATAGCTGTGAAACTCTAGTTAAATAGCTCACCTGTTTTTCTCATTACAGCTCCTCTTCACAAGACCACGTCTTTAGCCTCAGAGCTAATAACTCAGATCAGAGTGTGTGAAGGAGAAATGTGGTGTCGTCTTTACAATGTGTCCCAGGGGCCCACGCTTAAGGCCCCTGAACAGTGGGGGGCCACGCATTTGAAGCCTTCTCAGATGAGCACTGGAACATTCAATAATTTCCTCCTCGGATTAGAGCTACAGCCCTCCTGGTGTCCAGAGCAAACACAAATAAACAGTGTTAGCTTTTCAGGAGCTAAGGTGTTAGCTGTGTGAGGTAAGAGAGCCATCAGGGTAGGCAGTGAAATGAAACATACATTATAATGTAACGTAATACATTATTCTACTAGTTTGGGCCACAAAGATTCATTGTCCTGTAACTTCAGAATAAACTAACAGCAGGTCTATAGCAGAGCTGAGGATGTTGTTGGTGACACAGGTGACACTGAGGGAGTGACAGTGGACTGTAAATGCCACCCCTCTGTTGACATCCGCTGAGCTTCACCCTACTTGTCCTATCCCAATTAGCAGAACAAACAACACAACTGTTTGCCCAGCCTTTCTGCACTGCCTCCCCAAAACTACCCAAGCCTAATCTTGCTGTTGCCCAATCTAGACGGGCCACCTGGCTAACACATCGCACTGTGAACCTGGGCCAACCGTCCTGCTAACCTTGGCACCAGGGTCACAAGTGCAGCACTAATTACGCTGCATTATTTGTGCAGGAGGCTGCCCCATCAGCACCCGAGTGCAC